TACATATATACATATATATATATATATATGAACAACCACCTGTGTTACTTGCTGCTACCACTATATGTTACGCATATTTTTCATTTCATGCATACCGTTTTGAATATCAGCCAAAGGCTAAATTATACATTTCGTACAATATTCTGGGCTTTGGGCGCTTGCCAAAAAATCATGTTTCATATGAAAGCTCCTATTTACCCACTAACAACCGATGATCAGCGCTCCGATCTATCGCCCTTTTCGATCCTGACAGCTTTGTTGGTGGTAGATGCACATGGTATAACATCCGATAATTGTTGTTTGCTTGTCTGTTAAGTTTCTGGGGTTTGTCACTATATAATTTTCGGTAATAAAGGTGACGGGGTATTTTTGGGAAAATGTTGGATAAACATTTTAGAAATTTTACAAAAAAAAAAGTGTTCTGTGCACATCCATTAACCGTAAAAGTTTGCAGCGAGGTAGGATATACGTCTTCTTTGTATTTTTTTTGCTAGTATATTGAATTTTATCCAGTTTGAGTTGACTAACATCAAGTTTTTCACTGATAGTAGGAAGGATAATTTTGAGAATCCTGTTTATTCCTCCGTAATATCATAGGAAGGGAAAGAAAAATGTATTTTTTTTGTTTGTTTTTAACAAATTCTCGGTTTTTTCTATTTATCGTAACAATATTATTTGATGTATTTATTTTTCATATCTGAATGAAAATTGGTTTTAATGGTGGAAATAAGGATTTACATTAAACTGGTTCCTTTAATAGCTAGGAATGCGGACTGACGAGGAGAGCGAAATTGACTGTTCGGTTGCAAATCGTGTTGCATCTGTTACAATCGAATCTGATAGTCAACCAAGCAATTCAGTCGCTGCCAGTAGAGTCCGTCGTCGAAAGAAACGTATCGCAAGACAAGCTGCAAAGGAGAAGATGGAAGTGGATGTATGCGTGAAATCTTTGACTGATGAACCATCATCTTCGGCAGTTAATGGTATCTGAAACTTTTTTTTATCAAAACCACGGCAAATTTGAGAGTATACTTTTCCGATTTTATTGCGCTTTCTAATCTTTTCTTTTTACTGTGGCCTACCCCTTAGCTCTCACTTTTTTGGTTCATTTTATGGTGGCGCTCGAAGCTTTCTTTTTTTTTTTGTCTTTATTATCGCACCTGCATGTATTTTTTCTGTACTATACGTTGTATGCGTGATGTAGTCTAATTGTTATTTTAAGTTATAAGAAAGCTATACGTAATGGTGGCAACAGATGACTGAATAACGTGTTTTTTGACCATATCTGATAGGTTGCAATTCAGGGTTGTTTTTAGTGTATTTCACCTGATTTTTCGATTTTTGGGGCTAGGGTTGAAGAATTTAAAAAAAATCGCTGTTGCAGTTTATCACATTCAGTCAATTGTCATTGTAAGTTGTAAGAAAGCTGTATTAAGGCTGACACCACAACAGATGTTGCTATGAAAATTAGAGAGAGATGAATGTTTTTTCAAAACGATGAAGTGTAGAGGAAGTGCTTTTAACTTCCTGATATGCAAACATCAGTCTTGTGAGACGAATACACAGTTCGCGAACTCCCTTAGACTGGCAACCGTTAGACCCTATTATTTTTTTGTTTTATTTCATATGAATGTAAGAATCAAGGAGGTACAGTTGAATACTGATTCGTAATAGAAGCAATAACCTAATTATTATAATCTTTCGTTTCATGCACTTTCTAGTTTTGAAAATTGAGCAGTTTTTTTAGGATAGGAATAGTTCTGGGAAAGTCTTTTCTAGTAACATTAGACACTTTATAGAGAAGAAGTGTAGAATGGAATGGGATTGTGTATGGTCGGATAGTGAGCTTTCGTCGTCTGATGCTCACTCATCGGACGGCCGAGAAGCTGATGACGAAGAGTCAGACTGGTTTGATGCTAATGGCGTAAGTAACCATGCATTTCGCCCCCCACAAGCACCAAACGGGAGACCCCCGCGGTTATCAAGGTGAATTGTCGCATATAGAAAATTGTTACCAAATCCCGTTATCATAATTTATGTCACCATGGAGATGAATCTGAAGTAATACATTGAGAAGTTACTATGGCACTGAACTCCCATTTGGGTGTCAGGTTTTCAAGACCTTAAGGTTTCCAGGGCCTGTGTTTCACAACTGTTTTTACAAAGGAAATTGGAACGATTTTTGAGAGAAGATGACCAGCGTGAAATAGTCCTCAGTCATTGGACCCGTTCCGACCAGGTAGACCTGTTATTTGGAGACAAAAAACGCTCAGTCACATTTAGTATTTGTCAGTATATTTGCACATCTAAAACAGAAGTTATTTGGTTGCAGCTGAACAACTTTGTATTCTTATACAGAGAAGTGAGCCGTCAGCTGCAGTAAGTAAATTACATGTTTTCGAAATGCGTTTACGTGAAATTTTTACAGATCAGCAGAATTCTGCACTGCTTTGGACTCGAAGTTGTTCGAAGAAGCCGTGGTACCGTAGTCTTAAGGAAGGTTAGATTATCGTAGTGAGTGGTTTTTTTTATTTTTTTTACTTTTTTTTTTTATTTTTTTATTTTTTGTTTATTCCCGAGTGAATTATTTGATGTTGCCAGTGCTTTATTTTTTAAATGATGTCGGAAGGGTTTACATGTTTGTCAGTTTTTAGGTTGCTGGAAGTTATATGGGTTTAATCATTGTTGTAGGTAATCCATTTAATTATCCTGAAATTCTTAGTTTCGTTCTACTTTTTAGCACTTGTGTGCTTTGTGCATTATTTTTAATGCCTTTGTAGGTTGTATGATTTGAACAATTATTGTTGTTTTGCAAGCGTTTTACCAAGAACTCTTCATCGATTAACCAGACCAAACTAAAATGTTTATTTGTACATGTGTTTACGTTGAAATAAAAAATTTACTTGTCTCTCCTCTTATTTTTATCTGAAAAGATGTTAATTTCGTTCCAGCTTTTAGCTTTATTATTGGTATTCAGGGCGCTAAATTCCTCGAGTTTTTCGCTCAATCGTTTTAAAGATTGGGAGGGGTTTGGTAAGGCGGAAGTTTTAGAAGATTTCTGCTCTTAGATTTGTGTGTGCTTTTTGCTTTTTATTTAACGCTGCAATTACTTTCAGTTCTTGATGTATTTGATTGCTTGGGTTTGGGGACTGCTATGTGACTGTTGGGAAGAGTAAGATACTGAGGAATGGTGATTGAGACTTTCTTTGCTTTCATCTAGGGTAGTCATTGTTGTAAGGCTTTTATTTGCTTATAGTGGTTTGTACCTGGGTTTTTTTCGAATTTGATCCTTTGACTTTGTACAGTGCTAACAGCTTTGTCCGTCTTTTTAGGTAAGATATCTTGGCTTAAAACTTTGGCGGCAATATTTCTAGTTTTTGGAAAGGTTTTTGATGCTGAGGATTGTAGTTTATGTTGTGGCTTATGTTCACGCGGTAATTTAGTTTATGAGTTTGTATAGAATTATTCTTTGGTTCAATTTAGAGTTCTTCTCGAAAGACAGTTCAGTTCTGGAGCGTTTATGCCAAAGAAAGCAAAAAAGGAAACTGGACAAAGGCGATTAACTTTTAAAATGCACGCTTTTTATTTATTTCTTCCTATTAAGGCAAACTGAAGTCAAAGCTGCTTTTTATAATAGTGAGAAATCGATTTATCAATCAGTACTGTTGAACACTTATTGTTTTAGTGAATGTGGGGTTCTGAAGAAGTTTTCTAGAAGTGAGGGAGAAGTGCTTGTTAATGAAGCAATTCTGAAGATTTTGGGCATATCCGCTCCGACATATGTCATTGATACTTTTGATGTTGGAACACAAAAATTTTCTTTGGTTGTTGACGCTGGTGACCTACATTTTATTTGGGCTGCCTTATCACTTTACGGTGTTCACTTCGGTGTACCTGTGGCTCTGCACCTTAACTCAGTCAGTTTCCCCTAATTCTTTCAGATTTTTTATGGATTCTTGACCTGGTGGTCTCTTTTTAAAGGTGGATTATTTCATGGCAATGCATCTTTAAGAATTTCTGGTTGTTAGGATTGTTCAAGAAATCGTTTTAGTAATACAATGAAATGATGACATTTCTTTCGTCAAGGTATTTCAGATATCCATCGTTAATGAATTGTAAATAATGGCATTACTACTAAATATTATTATTTTTTTGCCAGCTGCCGGTCTTATTACATTACTGTTGTTGGTAATTATTTCTCTTCCAAAAAGAAAGAAGTTAACTCTTCAGGGGAAACATGCTTTGGTAACCGGTGAGATTTTGGGTTTCTTTTTACTCCTTTTTTTTTTCTTTTTTTTTCCTGACATGTGATATAGTTGTTTAAAAGTGTTGGACTGATGGTTACTCATGGCTCTAGGTGGTTCAAAAGGTATTGGAAAGCAAATTGCGGCTGAACTGGTGAAACAGGGTTGTGCGGTTTCTCTGATTGCGAGGAACCGCAATAATTTAGAAAAAGCGCGTTCCGAACTTTTAAGCTTGTCAAAATGTAGTGGGAAAGAAGTGGACGTTGAATGTTATGCTGTTGACTTGACCCAAAATTTCGAGACGGTGACTTATTTCCTTTTGAATTTAAAATTTCGTCTTTTACATCAAAATTTTTTTCTCTTGTTTGTTTATGGGTAAAATCTTTTTTAAGATTAAATCAGTAATAGAGGAAGCGGAAAACAATATTGGTCCTATCGACATACTGATCAACAATGCTGGTAATTCTGTGCAAGGCGGTTTTGATGCTCTTCCTATCGATGAGTTTGAAAAGCAGATTCGACTTAACTATCTTAGCGCAGTTAGCTTCATTGCATTTTTGAGGAAAACTTCTGACGTATGATGTCTGCCAGCAAATTTGCTATCCCAAGCAAAATTTGGCACTTTTTACAGTTGTGCAGTAAATTATGAGGTGATTTTAGGTTTACGCATCTAGAGCCGTCGTTGAAAAGATGAAAGAAAGAGGAAGCGGTCATTTAGGGTTTGTTTGCTCTGCTGCTGCACAGTGCGCTATTTGGGGTTATACTGCATATGGAGCATCTAAATTTGCTTTACGAGGATTTGTAGATTCTCTACACATGGAATTGCTACCTTATGGCGTAGGAGTGTCGATTTTATATCCTCCAAATACTAATACCGAAGGGTTTGAAGTTCGTTTCTTGTATTTTACTCGTTTTTTCGGTATAAAAGACAATGCAATTCAAATTTTTATGAACTGTTCCGTACACTTAAATTGCTTATTAGGAACTTTCTTTTACAGCATGAATTAGAGACTATGCCAGATGAAGTCCGTGAAATTAGTGGGGCGGCAGGATTGGTTGAGCCTTCAGTTGTAGCTCGTTCTTACGTAAATGGCATCATAAATGGGAACTATCGGACTGTTATTGGTTTAGAAGGTTGGCTTTTAGGTACAATTACTGGTGGAGCCGGGCCTGAGAAAGATTTTGTTCAAGCTATATTGGAGGTACATTTATTTATTTTAAGAATTTTTCATTTAATCCTATTTGATAAGAAATATGTAACGGTGAGAAGGAAAGGTGTAGTAAGGTTAGAATATCAGTCTAACGCCTCTTAAATACTGGCTGTGATTTTTAGATCCTTTTTGCTGGCGTATTACGTGGGGTGATGCTGCTCTACATTGGTCGTTTTAACAGGGTAGCTAAGAAGTACGCTAGGATCAAGATGAAGAAGACTTGATTCTATTCGTTTCTTTTTTTTGCATAGTCCTATTGTAAAAGATTTTTCTTTAATAATTGTAGTTCTTATCCTCTAATTATTTGAACAAGTACTGAGCAAAAAAAAAGACGGCACAATGGAATGTCATAATGAACAAGGAGTCAAAGAAATTAGGAAAGTCGAGAACCACCAGTTATAACCCGTATTTGAAGCCATTCATAGACGGTTTCTCCTCTTACCCAATTCTGGAAAAAGTTGATGTAATGCGGTGAAAAGAAGAAAAACTAAAATCGCAGTAACACTTCATCTCGACAGTAAGGCTTGATTAAGGGAGTAGGTC